GTTCTTGCAGGTATCTATTGATAAAACCGTTGATGGTTTGAGGACTCTGGAAAACCCTCATGAATAGCTTTCCTTTTCGCTGCCCAGATGGCCCATAAGGTAACTGAGAGCTTCACAAATAGATCATGTGATAACGTGCTCATGAGAGTGAATAGCCACTGTTTAGCTTTCGGTTCAGTGATGGTTGCTAAGTTTTGCGCCAATTCCTCATCCACAAGGGCCCAGGTGCACCTTGACATGGTGCATTCTAGTAATGAATATATGTCTCCATGAATCTGGGGAGCCGCAGATACCACACGCGCTAGATGTCGCCATATGTCTGTGTGCTCTTACATCATTTGTCGGAATGGACTGCTTAGATAATCTCCATAGGAACATTCGGACCTTCCCTGGCACTTCTGTCTTCCATAATCTTTTCCACTCCCCTTCTTTTGTATTTGAGCTGGAAGGACCGAGCCTATTTTTGAGCCAAGCCTCTCTTCTTTGGCGTGTGCTTACAAGCATACGGTAAGCGGATTTGACTGAGAATACCCCATTCTTTTTCTGGCTCCAACTCCAGAAATCTTCAACATTCATCGTACACAACGGAATGCCCAGTATGACATTTGACAGAGGGTTTTTTTTTGAGGATCAACATTTGACACAGGTAACTGAACACAATTCGCAAGGGTCTAAAACAGCCCATTAAGCCCGATCAACAGAAGCCCATAAAAAAAGCCCGATCAACAGATGCATCCCAAGGCAGTCTGTTCTCACCGTCGGATGGCCCAGAATAGTCCAGTCAACCAGGAAAAAAATATGCAGATTTGCTAATTGGGCTGGGAGAAAAAGGCCTAGTTAACCAGACGGCTCAGATTTTTCTCCAGGAGTAGCGGCCCTATAGGACATTCGGCCCATGCGGAAGTGCACTCAGATCTGATGGTCTAGGACGGCCAACCAGGAGATCAGACGGCTAGCGTGAGAGGGTTGCGTTTAGGTTCAGTTTTATTGTCGTAAATATTAAAGAAGTTCATTAAATTAAAAGAGTTCATGTATTTTAATAACTCCTGAATTTTAAAAAATGATGTGAAAACACGAATTTTGAAAAAAATGCTCATGAATTTAAAATATGTTCATGGATTTCAAATAATGTTTGTGAATTATATTTTTTATTAAAAAATGTTCATAGATTTTTAAAAATCTTCATTAATTTTAAATATTAATAAATTTTACAAATATCCTGGATTCAGAAAAAATTCATGATTTCCAAAAAAACATAGTATTTTAAAATGGTTGAAACTTTAATAAATATTCATGAATTAGCATGTGAAAAAATAAAATAAAAAATAAAAAGAGAAGAAAAAAAATACCATGAAGAACATTGCCATAACCATATTGCATAGATCAAATATCTTATTGCATTCTGTTCATAGAAATACTAGGGTTCCTCAATATCACCGAGAACTAAAAAACTACTCAGGCATGGGGACACTAGACATCATCAAGGTGTTCATATTAATAGCAGATGAACAATTTATAGTGATACATGTATGAATCCACAATAGGTTTTTGGATTACAGTGATGTTGATGGAAGAGTCGATGATGAGCGTGGATGGTGACATGAGGATGGATGTCGGTGTCGTGGCCCCGTGATCGAAGCAATGGCGAGTTGGATGCCCTTCTATCGATTCCACTGTTGGATCACTTTCAGAGATGATCTCAGACGACCACTACTACCACCAGAACGAGCCGCCGATGTGCCGCTGTCGTCACTCCCTTACCGGAGCCGACTTGACATTGTCGATGACAGTCTGGAAGTCTTCGTGCACATGTCCCTGACAGCGGGACACTTGATAGGCTCACTATTAAAGTCCATGAAAATTATACGTCTATAAGGCAAAACCAATAAGTAAAATATGATGCAAGATGCACTCATCACCGAACAGTGGGACTGCTCAATGCCGACCGGCCCGAGCAACCACGTTGGAGTTGTCCCAATCAAGCTAGTAGAGTTTTTTCCTCTTATGTAGCATAAAATGGCATGGTTATTAAAGATTAAAAAAACATTGAGAGCATCAAGGGCACTCCAATTTGGGCTAATTATCCTTTTGCCCTCAGTGGTGTCCATGTGCTCAGTTTTGCCCTCAGATGCGAATTGTGCTCAGTTTTGCCCCTAGTCCGTGCGCACCGACTCGTTCCGTGAACTCTGCCGTCTCCGTCAGGTCAACCTTTTGACTCGGCCCTTACAGGTGGGACCAGGCGGCAGAAACGGCTAATTTTATTCAGACCGTTGCACGCGTGGCTTGTGGGACCCAGCAAAGAGCCGTTGAGCAGAGAGCCGTTGGCGGGTGTGCTATATAAGCGGGCGACAGCGGTGGTGACCACGGCGACAGAGAGCACGGCGGTGACCACGGCGAGAGAGAGAGCACGGCGGCGGGAAGCTAGCTGTGGAGGGCGCGGCGGTGGGAAGCTGGCAGTGGAGGGCGCGGCGGCGTTGAGATCCCCTTCGGCTCCGAGCTCCATGTCTTCCTCAAGCTCCCGCGCCACCTCGCGGATGCAGAGCCGGGCGCGTGTGGACATGCCTGTCTTCGTCTGTCCGCGGTGCCGGGCGGGCGTTGATCGAAGGGTTTCTCAGACACCGAGGAACCAGAATCGTCCGTTCTACGTGTGCAGCG